CCTGCCTTGCCTCCTGCCTCCCGCTAATTCCCGCTGCTTTCCCTCCCTCCATCCTTCCATCCTGCCTGCCTTCCTGCCTGCCTTCCTGCCTGACTGACTGACTGACCAACATAACAGAAAGCTGAAGAAGCATTCTTTGCTCGCCTGCAGAAGAAGCAGATGAAGGATCTCAAGGGCATCATGGAATGTCTCGCGCTGGAGAGGAGCGGAGTTCATGTAAGTGGAGAAGAGGGGAAAGGGCGGAGTGAAGAGAAGGAGAGAAGAGGAGGGGAGGCGAGCAGAAGGAGAGGAGAGGAGAGGAGAGGAGAGGAGAGGAGAGGAGGGGAGGAGAGGAGATTGGATGACTGGTGATATGCAGAAAGACCTTGTCGATCGACTCTTCACTTTCCTCAAGAAACCTTCAGCCACTGTCTGCAAGACCGTCTCCTCCAAGTCAAAATCTGCACCCAAGAAGAGCAAGAGCAAGACCAGCAGCAAGAAGTCTGCCAAGAAGTCAAAGACCAAGGTCCTCGTCTCCAACTGCTGCTCCTGCCCTCTGACCCCTGATCAGTCCCCAGCGAGCAAGGCCAAGGGAAAAGGGAAGAAGAAGGTAGACAGAGGAAGTCCATCGCAAAGCTGACTCTCTACAGGAGGAAGAGGAGGAGGAAGAGGAGGAGGAGGAAGAGGAAGAGGAGGAGGAAGAGGAGGAGGAGGAGGAAGAGAAGGTCAGTGCAGTTTTGGATTAGCCTGATCTTAATCTAAAGCCGATGCAGCGACCCAAGAAGAAAGCTAAGAAGGAGACGAAGAAGGCAGGAAAGAAGAACAAAGAGGTCCTCTCTCCTCATCCGTCACCCGCGCTCCTCTCCTCCTCCTCTCCTCCTTCCCTCCTGCTCTCCTTCCCTCCTTTCCTTCTCTCTCCCTCTTTTCTGTTCCCCCCCCCTCCTTCATCCTTTACCCATCCTTACGTGATCCCACCTCCTCCTTCTTGATCCTCCTTGCTCTCCTACTCCGCCCCCCACCCGCCGTTCACTGCAGCCGCTGATTCTTGAAGGAGGAGGAGGAGGAGGACGAGCCCTTGATCAAGGGAGAGGAAGCAGAGATGCTCGGCAAGATCAAGAAGCATGTCAAAGAGATCTGCGACGGCGCCGACATGGATACGCTGACGCTGCGCAACGTGAGCGAGAGGAGAGGAGAGAAGGAGGGAGAGCAGACGAGAGGATGAGGGAGAGGAGGGGAGGGGAGCAGGGGAGGAGGTAGAGGGCGAGTGAGAGGTTGGCAGGTGAGGGAGCAGCTGAAGGAGAAGTACGAGATCGACACTGATAAGTACAAGGACAAGATTAAGAAAATTGTCGACGAAGTTATTTCAGCTGAATGATGATGACGACGACAACGACGATTATGATGATGATGAAGAGGATGAGGATGATGATGATGCAAGGTTGCCATGTTGTATGGCGATGATTGTCTTTTCTTGATCTTTTTCAGCCCGCCATGTGGATATCTCTTTAATACAACAGTGACTCTCCGACTTGTCCCTCCTCGTCCCTTCCTGATCCCCAAGTTGCTTTTCGAGTTTGATTTCATCCAATCACCTGTCCTTTTCTTCATCTTCCCTCTTCCTCCCCATTTTCTCTCTCTCCCCCATCCTTCCTTCTCACTTCCACTCATCATCATCATCATCATCATCATCATCATCATCATCATCATCATCATCATCATCATGAAAGTGCAAACATGGACGAAAGAGCTCTGTTTGTCGTCTCCACAAGCGACAAACTTCACCAAGTCAGTTATGCTTCCCTGTGGCCTCTTGTAGGCGGCTGAATCATCTGACTCGCTACGAAGAACAAGATTCCGCTCACGAGGTACGCGGCCGAGACAGAAACCTGAGGAGCGTCAGATTGACGAGGCAGGAGCAGCAGGAGCAGCAAGTACAGCGAGGACGTCGGGGAGAGGATGATCCTTTTGCAGGCTAAAGACTCCAGTAAGACAACCTCCTCCTCCTCCTCCTCCTCCTCCTCCTCCTCCTCCTCCTCCTCCTCCTCCTCCTCCTCCTCCTCCTCCTCCTCCTCCCCGTCTTCCCTCCCATTTCCCATTCCACTCTCCTCCTCATGCACACACAACATTCCCAACGCCCTTCCCGTCTCCTCCCCCACAGTAACTCCCGCTCCTCCTCCTCCTCACCTTCCTATCACCACTGGCATGATGTTCCCGATTGCACCCAGCACAGAGAACAGCCCCTATGGGTCCTTGTAAGCCCATCCCTCCTCCTCCCTTCCTCCCTGCTCCCTTCCTCCTTCTTCCGTCCTTCTACCTTCTCCTCCCTTTCCTCCCTCCCCGACTCTCCCTCTGCCTCCTCTCTTTCCTTTCTCTTCCTTCCCACTTCCCTCTTCTTCTTCCCTTCCCTCCTCACCTGCGCTGTCCCCTGAATTTCTCGCGGAACACTCTGCTAGTGTGTGAGAAAAACCTTTCTGCCTCCTCCTCCTTCACCTTGAAGAGCGCGGCGAGGGTGGGGCCGAACCAGCACTCAGCAACGATGTACTCGAGGAAGAGGAGGGAGATGCTGTGAGTGAAGCTGGGGATGTTCTTAGTGCGAGGCAGAAGGAGGAGGAGGAGGAGGAGGAGGAGGAGGAGGAGGTGGTGGTGGTGGTGGTGGTGGTGGTGGAAGAGGAGGAGGTGGCGAGCAAACCTGTCAGCCTTGCATGCTCCAATCCAGAAGGGGACGGCAAGGATGCTGCCGACAGCTGGGATCTGAGGAAAGTTCAGGGTGAGCAAAAGCCAAGGAGAGAAAGGCAGAGAAAGCGAGGAGAGTGGGGCAGTTTGCCTTTGGAGGAGTTGTGGGAGGAGGAGGTAGTGGTGGAGTTTAGAAGATGGTAGGGAGGAAGGGAATGGAAGGCGAGGAGAAAAGTGAGGGCAAGGAGGAAGGAGAGGGGAAGGAGGAAGGGGCGGAAGAAGGGGGGAGGAGAGGAAGGAGGGGGGAAGGAGAAAGGGGCAGAGGAGCGAAACGAACCAGAAGCTTCTTTCCGTAGTCGTGCGGAGCCAGTCGATCAGCAAGGACCCCTCCAAGAAGGGAGGAGAGGACCCCTCCACAGGAGATGACAAAGGCATTGGCCACGGAGAATTCGCTCTCAGAGGAAGGGAAAAGCTCCCGATACAGCGGAGCTTTCCAAACCCCAATGCCGTAGCCTGCGCAGAACCTGACGGCAGAGGCTGCAAACAGCACCTGGACGGAGGGGATGGAAAGAACTCCTTTGATTGCCTCCAGCCCTTCCCTCATCTGCTTCTGAAAGTTGAAAGAGCTACTCGCTGCCTCCTCCACCTCCTCCTGCTCCTCTCTGCTGCCCAGCAACATCGTCTGCTCGTTCAGCTGCCCACCATCCTCCCTCTTCATGCGCGGGTCTCGGAGGAAGAAGGCTCCTCCTGCAGCGAGGAGGCAGCCCAGCGCTCCTGAGCCCAGGCACGTCATCCTCCACCCCACCTGCTGATCTGCGAGGATACTCAAGGACGCCAGAGCTCCGCCGATGTAGACGGCGGAGGCGAAGACGGAGTTGGCAGTGGCGATCTGAGACTCGGGGAAGGAGGACGCGATGAGCCCGTAGGCAGGAGGGTTCGTGAACGCTTGCGACACTCCCATGAGCGAGCGGAACGCGAGCACCTGCTCGAAGCTCCTCGAGATCCCTTGCCCTGCCGTTGCGAGGGACCAACCCGCTGCCGCCACCAGGACGATGAAGGCTCTGTTGCCCTTGTCGCTTGCTCGGCCAGCGATGAGACTGCAGAACGTGTAGAGAGCAGTGAATCCGAAGGATGCAAGGATGCTGTACTGCTCTTCCTCGAAGTTCAAGTCGATGTTCATATACTTGTTCGCGTTGTCCTCTGTTTTGGGGATCTTGAAGCTCACAAGGTAGTATACCATAGCCCTCGTCCACTGATTGTGTACGTTGATGCCCAGGAGCAAGAAAAGAACAACCCACGACATGGTGGAAGCAACCTGAGAAGTTTCGCTGCTTCCTCTAGATGCGGTTTCAGCGCTCTCCGTGCTGCTTTCCCTCTGCTGCTGCATCCTCCACAATCTCGTCGCTGGCTTCACCCTCTTGCTGCTAGTGCCTCTAATGTCTCCTCTGGTGCATCGATGAGAACACGCGAGCCTCTTGTTGGTAGCAGTGAAGGAGGACTGTAAGGGAGGAGGACGACCAAACGCTAGTGACTTGCGGGCGACGAGTTCGAGAAAATGGGAAAGGGAGGTCGAGGACTCAACGCAGGTGAAGAGGACAAGGGCAAACAATAGGATCTTGCCGCTAAGATTCAGTGACCGATGTAAAGGATGCTGTCTTCTCCTCGCTTCTCTTCTCGCTTCTCTGCTCGCTTCTCTTCTCGCTTCTCTGCTCACTTCTCTGCTCGCTTCTCTGCTCGCTTCTCTCCTCGCTTCTCTGCTCGCTTCTCTTCTCGCTTCTCCCTTCTCCTCTCTCCACATGCTCATCGCTCTGCCATCGAGTCCGGCTTTAGGACCTCCCTGAATTCGGGCGGTATCAGTTAAGTTTGGGGGACAGCAGTGGGCCGTATAAGAGTTGATTCTCACTGTCTTTTCTCTTCTACTGTTTTTTAACTTAACTTTGAGTAAAGATCAAGATTCGGGCAGGATAACTTGATGATGCGACGGTCCGAGTCACCCGCCGGGCCCGGCCCGGGCGGCGGCCGTGTCAGGCCGTGCGCGGCCCGCTGAGTCAGTTCAACTGAGCTGTCCTGCCAAGCGAGAGGCTGGTGACGCGCTGGTCCGATCTAGTGGCCGATTTGCAATCCGATCCGATCAGTGATCGCCAAACTTGCCGCTGTGCGCGGTATCAATCCGATCGTCGTATCAATCACATTAGCGACATCCCCGAATAACTGAAGACCTAGGGAGTTGGCATGATCGGGGGCATGCGGCTAGGGAGCTTTCAAGTGATCTATCTTGGACTTGATGGGTTCGAAGATGGACTGCACAGCAGGAGGAGCGGAGCTCTTGAAGGCACGTGGCTTGTAATCGAGCTGCTTGAAGGATTTCAGGTCTTGCTCCCTCACTCCCAAATACTTGGCGAGCTCCGTCGCATTCTTGTATAACGTCTTGGTGTTGACAATGCGCAGCTCTGGCCAATTGTTCTCATTTCCAGCTACCAACCAGCTATTGACGTAGTCTGTTAGTCCCGTAGTGTCTTGCTTTGCGTTGCTGATCTCTTTCCAGATGTCAGCAAGTCCTGTGCGTCCGCCATATGGGCGTCTCTTGGAGTTTTGGCGCCACTTGTTGATATGCGCCACTTGGAATCGTCGATGCACACTCTCTATGGAGTGCAACGGGTCTCCCAGGATCACCATGGCTTTCTTGGCACATCCTAGCCCACCCAGCTGTATTCCTTGGCGGTCGTGCTTGAACTGATAGGCGTTCTTGTGCTTGAAACCATCAGCGTCCCCAGGGGAGTTCATGGGAAGGTGCGATCTTTGAAGCAGTTCCATGAACGAGCTAGAGCCTACCCCTCCTTGGGAGTTCACGAGCACATACGGGCACTTGGAGGGTTTCTTCTCTCCGCGTTGGATATTTGCCTTGTTGTTTGCAGCAGCTCTCTTGAACGAGGGTCCTCTGAAATAATTTGACCTGGCTGTCATGTTCTGAGAGACGTTTTGAAGGGCCGTGCGGGTTTTGTTGATCTCTTTCAAGGATGCAATGCTGGTGTTGCCCTTCGAGGAATTGGTGCGGGGTTGAACCAGGGATCGGTTGAAGATGAGATGTGTATGGTTTACATCTATTTCACTCACATTGTTTCTTGACCGATTGAGCGGCATCCAAGAGGAATTCTTGACAGGCGATTGACTGTCAGGTGGGACGAAAGGCACGAACATAAAGCTCGAAGCCTTGTTACGAACATGTAAGAGAACCTGGCTGAAGTTGAAGCCAGAGTACTCTCTTTCCCAGATGCTGACATCACTCTGAAGCGACCTTAACGGATTCCCGGACGAGAACACTTGAACCGCGAGGAAGACGAAGGCAATCGAAAAAACAATCAACGAACACGCTCCCCTGCGGCAAGCTTGTTCAGAATGGACAGAAAATCAAAACTATGTAAAGTCAATGAAGTTGTGAAATCATTGAGAGAACACATCAGCCTTGATCCTCTCCAACTCCTTACCCACTTATGCTCGCATGCTGCATCACTGAGGTGCCGACACCGCATGCTCATCGTCTCATTGTGCTCTTGCATACAGGGGAACCCACTGAGGCTGGTCACCTGGCAAAGGACCCCTCCATCACTACAGTGATCATGACAGTACCCCACAGAGCACCCTTCCAGACCATTGGCTATGGGCCGGTACTCAGCCTTAAGGTAGTAGTAGTGACGTACGGTAAGCGCCGACATCCGAATGAGTAGGGGTTTTATGGAAGCGCTGAATTGCGTAGCGTAGGTACTAAAGTTTTACTTAACTTGGCTCTGAATTCAGACACTATTCAGGGTTTGAATAGTCTCCTATGTCACTATTCAGGGCCTGAATAGCGTTTGAATAGCTAAATCGCAACGTTTCGACATCTCGGTAAAAGCCGACGACCCGCCCCCAGACAGGGCGTTCCACACCGCGTTAACATGGCGTGAGCATGCTCGCCCGACCTCCTTGTCGTGTACCTTGGCCTCCCCATCTGACTGACAACATGACGTCAACACCCATCCTGTCAGAATAGACTCGTGCAAGTATGCAAGCAGCGTACCCTGACTCTTTATAATCGGTTCTCGTCGCTCGTTGAACGTCAATGAAACAGCAATATTTTGATGATGACTGCTTCCCTGTTGTGTGCTCAATGAGGACAATGGCTCTGATATTCTGAATGACATCGTTTACTTGAACATATGGCCACATACAGAACGTTTTCACAGTAACATACATAGGTTAAAGAAAAAGCAGAGGTAAAGCGGAAATTGCAACGGGCAAACGTCGCTACTTTCTGAGAATCAGTGTGTCAAGCTATGCAGATTCCAGTGAATTGCTCCTTGAAAGCGTGCATTGGAACCGCAAATCCTAAATGGAAGACCCAGACATCGAGAACATTCGCTGGAAGTGACGAAGTTCATGCAATAAAAGACTACCGTTTCATGTTGTTGATGTTCTGCATGACTGCATCAGGCATACCACATGAGAGAATCATGCAATATACGTGATGCTGGAACCTCATACAAGTGCAGCATGACCTTTGCATGCGCATCCGATCTTCATTCTGTCCTCATTGCATGTCTACCTCATGAACTTGAATGCATTGGTGGAACAAATTTCTAACAGTTCAAAAAAAGAGTGGGTTGTGGTACAAATTGATAACTGGAGTCTTGAACTGGGGTCACCTATGGATTTAACCTAGATCTTAACCCCTTTCTCCAGGTTAACTAAAGTGGGCACACTACGCTACGCTATTCAGAAGGACATCCATAAAACCCCTAGTCGCCCGGTCATGCCGCAGCCTCGGACGGTCGCGACCGGGCTGAGGACTGAGAACATCATGGCATCCGATGATCACGGATCAGTTACGAGTACTAAGTTTGGGGGACAGCAGTTGCCACAGGGAATAGGTTTGAAAGTTTCAATTTTGGTTCTCGCTGTCTTAGGCTCTTCTCGCCGTTTGGCCTGTCACGACACTGCGTGTCAGGCACGGTCAAGCCTCCTCGACTCTCCTGATTGTCCTAGTACTGATTTTTAACTTAACTTTCAGTGAGTAAAAAGATCGGACCCGGCGATCATGCCGGGGCATCTGTCCGTTCAGGACTTACTGTGACAGTGGCAAAGTTCTCAGATGGTGACTAGAAAGCGCGGCGCGCGCCGGGCCGCCGGCCGGGCCTCCGGGATCCGATCCCTGAGGAGTCCGCTCGCGCCGCCGCCGCCCGGCCGCGCCTCAGGCACCGCGGCCGCGCCGGGGCCCGGCGGGCCCGGCGGGCCGGGCCTCCGCCGTGACGGTGCCAGGACCGTCGTCTCTCGCCCGGGAGGCCGCGGCTGCGCGCCGCAGTTAAGTGAAGGCCTAGTCATCAGTTAAGTTTGGGGGCCCGACGAGATCGGACTCGGACCCGGCCCGGGCCGCGCCTCACGGCCGTCCCGGCGTGACCCACTGGGCCTACCCTGAGCGATCCGTTGGCTCGATGATGGGAGGGGATGACAGCGGAGAAGGGAGCACGAGCAAGGGCGACTCAACCATGATCCCCGGGTAAGCCTCATGGAGAAGATGGCTGGTGATAGCGCTCGTCGAGATGAGGAGAAAGGAGGGACAGGAGATCTCAGGAAAGCTATACGCACGTCTGCAGACAGAATGTAAGAAAAATGCAGGGAAGAAGAGCGGTTGTTGACAGAGAAGAGCAAGAGATGTCGTACAATATCAACACTTGAGGACAGGATCAAAGCTTGCTCTTGAAGCTTGGACAGGTCTGAGAGACACAAGATCGTAGTGGAGAGGAAAGAACGAGAGGACAGGAGTTGAGACTTGTAACTTCTCTGCTCTTATCTTGTTGCAGGTACACGGGGCATGTTCATAAACTCCAAGAAACGTATGGCTCCACCTTTGCCAAGGCAGCCAACCTCGTTACCAAATGCCCTCCTGAGACCCCCGAGCCATTCTCGTGCTCCTTGTCTGTGCTGTCTGCTTCTTCTGACGAGTGCGCGTCGGAAGCATGTGGGACCTCTCCAAGGGACCAGGACGCTGCAGACGTCTGGCTACTATGTGCCAGGTAAGACACCTGCTACCAGACAGGACAGACGGCCATTCTCTCAAATTGAAGATGCGATAATAGGTAGCGGATGTGCGGGTTCTTCCCGACCTTCAGCCAGCACCAAAGACACCAACATCTTCATCCAGGTACTGGAACTCTGCTCCTGCTCCTGCTCCTGCTCCTGCTCCTGCTCCTGCTCCTGCTCCTGCTCCTGCTCCTGCTCCTGCTCCTGCTCCTGCTCCTGCTCCTGCTCCTGCTCCTGCTCCTGCTCCTGCTGCATCTGGCCTCAGCACCTTTTATTGCTCACACTCTGCAGGGATCCAACGTAGACCTGCATCAGTACTACAGGACGTTGGAAGCAGGGAACTACCAGCAGGTAAGAACAAGACCAACATGTGTTGCAAGCTCACTCTTGCTGTAGATCCTGATCAAGTCTGGTTCTCCAAAGAAAGCCAGGTCGTTCGTGCAGTTTGGGGATGGCTTCTACTTCTCCGGGCCCTCCTTCTGGTGCCGAGCAAGTCGGGTGAATGCACTGTGCTGAGGTGTAGCAGGGAAACGACATACTCGGAGAGCTATGACGAAGAGAGCGCAACCAAAGCTGTACAGAACAGTGACAACAAGGAGACAGCAAGTGAGGAGCCTGAAGAGGTCTGACCATGCCCTCGTCCCTCCCTCCCTCCCTCCCTCCCTCCCTCCCTCCCTCCCTCCCTCCCTCCCTCCCTCCCCCCCTCCCTTCTCTGTCTCGGCTCATTTCCAGCAAGGTGGATGCCGAAGAAGCCTCGCTTCGCTACCGTGTGCTCCAGGCGCTGGTTGGAACGAAGCGTCTGGATGAGCTCGAGCTTGAGATACGTGACAAGGTGCAAGAGGAGGAGGCGGGGGCCACATGGGCTGAGTCTGTCCGTAGGTTCTACAGCGGATGGCAGGAGGAGCAGGGCAACTGCTCAAGAGCTTCAAGCTCTTCTCTTCGGGCAAGGGAGAGATCGGCCCGAACCAGCTCATGAGCGTCTGTCAGGTGAAGGATATCACAATGTTGCTCGAGGAGTCAAACAGACATGGCAGGACTTGGGTGTTGACATCAGCCGACGAGAAGCAACCGCTCTCTTCGGCAGATTCGACATCAACAAAGACGGAGGGATTGTGTATTACGAGTTTGTGGACGCGCTTTTGCAGAAAGACGTCAGCCCGGGTATCAAGAGAAATGCATCCTACTATGACAAACGAACAAAATGACACGAAAGTTTAATAGACTGTTGTTAAGAACGTTTTTGCTTCCTACCGGACCTTGGTGCTCCCTACTGACCCAAAACACCTTCATCCGTACATCCTGGCCTTGCGTTATCTTTCATCTGTACGTTCTAACTGTCTTCTTCATACGCCATATTGCCCTTCATGACGTCGTTTCTTGACATGTCCACCATCAGGTTGGGGAGCTAGCACGGGTCTCCTCTTCTACTCTATACACTTTGCTACATCATGTATCCAAAAACTCCCCGTCTGTGTGACGAGCGATTTCGGGTGATTTCCATTGGTGTGTCAAGGATGAGATACTTATCCTGCACGTGGGCTGGTGCGTGCAGTTTTGTTTGGATGTCTGATTAACTTTCAGTCAGAAACACAACAATCTGAGATCTCCTGCTGTTTGTTGCAACAGATTCAGACCAGCCTATCGAACAACTCAGTCCTCCTGTCCTCAAGTTCAATTTTTCTCTCTTGTGTTGTATTTGAAAGAACGCCATTATGGATGGCAGTGCCTTAACAATCAACCTCGCAAGGTTCAAACCTGCGGTAGACGCGCCTGCTCAGAGGTATCAGAACAACAGGATGTTGAGATGGGGAAGTGTCGACCGAACACGACATGGACCCATCAACGGTGTATCCAGGTAACAAGCAATCTTGTAAGACCTGGGCAGGAGGAGGGTGAGGAGGAGGATTCAGCATGCAGGCCTTCACTGACTCTTTCATCGATCATGCAGACTCTCCCGGTGACTGCATTCTCCTTCATTTCCCCATCATAGTCAGCAGTTGAATCTCGAGGAAATCTTTGACAGGCACCTCCTCCTTCCTCTCCCATTTCTCATCTGTGTTGGCGAAGCACTTGCCAGCCTGACCGACGAGAATCATTGGATGGTAAGGTCACATGCTCTGTACCCATCGAGAGCTTTTCACATCTGCCGACTGAGCAGCAAAGAATGTGAAGGATCGGCACTGGGACAGGGTAAGCGCATCAGCGGCTGGTGAAAGAAAGCTCGCTTGCCTGAATGCCTCCGTCTGAATACCTGGAGGAGACTTCAGCGTACAGCGGGTTGTACAGGTCACAAGGTTACCACATGGGATGGAATTCACTGTAGTTTCGGAAAGCTGCCTCGCACTCCTGATGTGGCAGTAACCAGCAGGTGGACGAGGCAGGTACAAACCTGAACAGACGCTACGTGCCCCAGGTCTTTCACGCTCAACTGTGCCATAGGCCATGTTCTGGTTGGGATGTTGGAGAAATTCTGATAGAGTGCTGTGAAAACCTGCAGCTCGATAGTAACAGCATCAGATAGCAACCAATGCCCTGGCGCAGCAGGACCTGCATCGAGCACTCCACAGGGACGAGAGGAGGGAAGAGGGGGAGGGCGACAAGGAGTGAAAGAAGCAGAGAGCTTGACGCCATGAGGCGACAGGGAGAAGTTTGAGTGGAAGGAGGTTGTCCAACCTACTCAAGCAGCTGTCAGTAATCGAGCTCGGTCACTTCACATCCTTGCCTGTTGTGTATCTCGCTACTCGTTCAAAGAAACACCTGCCTCTACACGCCTTCCTTGGTTTGAAATCACATTTTCAATCACACGGGCCCCGGTCCTCGGGCCGGGTTTCCACTCCGAGTGACGGGAAAGACTAGGAACCAAGGGGCATTATAAGTAACCGAAATAACCACGGAGCCTCCGGTCTTCCAACACTACCCTACCTCTTTACCGGAACTGCTCCTATATCTCATGGGTCCGAGGTCAGCGCCCGGCAGGATACGGCCTCGTCCCCTTTAAAAACTCCTTGTATACGGGTCGCACTACTGGTTCGTCATACATGATTTTTGACGGGTACTAGAAGGGTTTCTCCTCCGAGACTCCGACGGATCGGAGCAGCAATGATTCATCGATCGGAGTCTCGGAACGACAGCAGAAAGCGACTCGAATAGAACAACGTTTCGCTTTTTAATACTCTCCGACAGTTTTATACTCTCCGAAATTACTAAAAATGAAAACGTTTCGCTCCGGGATCTGTGTAATTTTGAAAAGTCTTTGTTTCGCTTCGGACTGTTTGTAGATATATTATTAAAGGCCACATACTCAACGGATCATCGAGTAGCGGGCGGTAAAAGATTGGCTTTCATTTTTTAAATATTTTTACGGTGCGGAGTCAACTAGAGGGTTAAAATGGGGGTAGAGGCCTCTATCTGTACTATGACCCCCCATTACAAAAGCCAATGAAGGGGTACATGAACATTGGGGTGTGGAAGTAGAGGGGGTGGGTACTTTTGAGATCGGGGAAGGCCTTTATCCATCCACCAAGGCATCACACTGGTTATCTACGCTCACTTCCCACCCTCGCAACAGCACGGTCAGGGGCGTCCTCTCATAGCCCACTAGAGTTTCCTTGGACTTCGGTGCTCAGCACAGCCATCGTCAGAGCTCAGCACTCTTCCATTCATAATGGCACACCAACTCGAGTACACCGTTCAAGCAAGTTGTGAGGCAACAGCGTCAAACTCGGACGACCAGGCTCCGACAGCCTTGGTCTGCCCACGACGGAAAAAGATGGAAGGGGTTGAAGATCCTGACGGAGAGGAACCCGTCATCCTCACTCGCGAGCTCCTTGAGAGCTACTTCAATTGTTCCCTGGCCTCTGTGTCGAAAGAGTTGGGCATCTGCCCTACGTCGATCAAGAAGGCTTGTAGGAAGCTTGGAATAGCGAAGTGGCCCTTCAAGTCACCGAATCCAGGGCCGAAGCGAAAGCACCCGATCATTTTGACCGCAAAAATGAACAGCGTCACGTCTCGTTCAGCAGAATCTCCTAAGCCTGTACGTGAGCCTGTCACTAAGGCAGAGGTCGTGGTTCAGAAGAAAAGCACCAACAAGGTTGCATCGGTGGACGCTAAGAACTCATGGAAGAAGATTGACGTGGAGCTAATTACGGAAGTGGAGGATGATCAGGAGGAGCTGAAATTTTGGGAGATAGTCTACTGTCATCTACCATCTCCAGTGGCGTATGTACAGTTGAAGTAGGTCAAAGGTTTCATCATACTTTATCACATAGTTATTTGCTTTCTATCCAATGTGCAGCTCGTGCTGCTTGAATGTACAAACAATACACTTTTCAAGTGTTCTCAGTAAACCTGGCAGTTGACAAATTTGACTTGAGTGCATGTCACTTGGTGGACTGCGCAGAGCGAAAGGCATGATGCTTTTTGTTTATTCGAAACCAGTTATATTGTTTCAGCTCCTTGTCGTGTATTTCAAAGGTTGTAGAATCCACTTCTCAAAGTTTGCATTTCAGATATCACAGAAAATGCTAGGTGTGATCAGTGTAACATGGTCAAAAGCCGGAGCTAACAAACAACAGCTCTCCCAAGGAAACGATTGCTTCAGTTTCATTATCGATGGGTTTCCAGCAGTTTTCAGGCTCCATGTCGTTCATCCACCCACCTGAGCTGTGCTGCGTGAGTTCACCGGGGGCTTGTGGTAGTAGGAGTGTGAGAGGAACTGCCTCAGTCTGCTGCAATAGCGGTCTTGCACAATACTTGTCCAAGGCATAGAACTCATCATGTCCTGCTTGTTCATGTTCATCCTGAGTAAAAATACTCGACTCGACAAACTGTAGATGCTCCTCATCCTCAATCTTCACAGGTTGAAACGAACATGTTGCTTGAGCATTGCAGCTCACTCTAGTATGTTTCCTCTTCGGCCCTGGATTCGGTGACTTGAAGGGCCACTTCGCTATTCCAAGCTTCCTACAAGCCTTCTTGATCGATGTCTGGCAGATGCCCAAATCTTTCGACACCGCGGCCAAGGGCCAGTCGAAGTAGCTCTCTAGGAGCTCGCGAGTGAGGAGGACGGGTTCATCCCATCGTTCTGTGCAGTCTTTTCTTTTCCTGGGGCAAACCATCGCCATGCTTGCGCTGGCTCTCGCGCTCCCTGTGCTCGTCTCCCCTGCTTCCGGCTTCATCTCCCCTGCTTCCGGCTTCACCATGCTCGCGGTCATGCTGTCAGCCTGCATTTCCGCTGGTCGCAAGTCGAAGAAGTCGAAGAGCAGAGGGTGGTGGGTGGGGGGTAATGAGGAGGGAGGCAAAAGGTGTTGGTCGATTTTGATTAGAGATGGAATTAAGAAATCGCACAGGTAGGAGAGGGTCAAAACAAGACTTGGGTCAATTTAAAACACTTTGTTTTATTGAGAGACGTAAGCGCTGATCTCGCCCTCTACATCCGTACCTCTTGCACCTGCCAACATGCGGTGAGCTGAGGCATGTTTGAGGGACGATGGCGGGAGGAGAGAAGGATGGTCAGGTGCAAGAGAGGGGAGGATGGGAAGACGATGGAGGAATGGGGATTGTTGTTGTCTGGTTAATGGCAAGAGCGCTTCAATGATTCATAAACACGTGTACAAAATGAAAAAAGGTCACGAACTCAAAGACGTGTTGAAGGATTTGGATTTGTACTCTTACTAAAGTCACAGAAGTAAGTTACGATGGCACATTTACATTTAAGATCTCCAACGCTCTGCCCGGGCACTCTCCATGCTTTCGCACCACCATCATGAAAGTAGGTCATGCGGTCAAACCAGCGCTGTCCAAAGGTTCAAGAATTATTGGTTGGCTTCGAACAGAAAGATCTCAACGTTTGCGATCACTTCGAGAGTGAAGCTGTAGACGGCGTCATTCAACAACAGCAGCAAGCAGCTGAAACTGACCCGCCCGACTTTCCGTTGGAGTAGGTGGTAGGAAGAAGGAGGTAAGGTCTGTTCGATGGTCTAGAGAGTTCAAACGGTGTCAGCAGAGCAGGAGGCTGGAGCGAAACTCACCGAATCTTGTCCAAGTTGACGACCACCGAGTCGTTAGGGACGAAGACCGTGTCGACTAGTCGCCGTTCGTAATCAGGTCTGCCATCATTCAGCGTCGGGCGATCAACAAGTGGGCTAGCAAAACCTCTCGAGGGTCAGCCGGTCGAGCGCCTCTCGCTTGATGCCTGGGCCGGGGAAGGCTCTCTCGCGGTCGATGAAGCTCTGAGGGCACTGACAGAGCCGTGAGTTGAAAGACACGAGGAGTGAAGGGTGAGGAGGAGAGTGGAGGAGGCGAGGAGGAGGAGGAGGGGGGGGGAGAAGAGAAGATAGTGGTGACTCGTCATTGACGTCGGCAGCTACCTGGAGAGCGTAGATGCCGATCATGCAACCGATGGGGTCTCGTGCTCTCTTCGCCTCCCAGTTCCCGCGGTAACTTGAAGCAAGCAGTCAGTGACGATGGCGAGGGAAGAGCGGAGCTCACCTCAGAGTCACCTTCACGTTGGGCTTGGTGGAGACAGGGGGAGGCACGAAGAGGAAGAATTGCGGGTTGCTGCTCCAGGACGTGTTCAGGTGTGACCCAGCTGCCGACTGTCCTCGCCATTCGCCCATGACGGAGAGGCGGCGAACATCAGGGATCTTGTCGACCTGAACCTGCCCTTCACTGCGAGCACATAGTCAGCTCAGCTTCAGTTGGGAAGGATGAGAGCTTAAAGCGAAGATTCAATGAGGAGCAAGAGAGAGAACCTGTACAGGTTGAGAGTGAAGAAGCTGTCGGTTTTCGGTGTGGTCGTCCTGCGGGGGTCGACTGATAAGCGACGAAAACATTCAAGTTCGTGCCATGAGCATGTGAGTTTGGTGAGAGAGGGGAGCAGTAGGGCGGAAAGCAAGAAAGTCAGAAGAGGAGAACAAGAAACTTGAGGCGGAGGAGGAGGAGGAGGAGGAGGAGGAGGAGGAGGAGGAGGAGGAGGAGGAGGAGGAGGAGGGCAGATTCACCATGGTATAACGATAAAAGACGATCTTGTCCGACATTTTGTTTGCACTCGTGCAACTTTTCTGCCATACTCCATTCCCGAGTGAACCATGGTCTCTTTGGCGGGAAAGTCAATGACTCTTGACTCTCCTCGCAACACCGACAAGCCAACGGTACAAGGCTGCTGGGAGCGACGCCCCTCGTCTTCGAGGTCCAACGAGGAGGAGGAGCTCGCCTCAAGGTTGTCCTCGGCTTTTGTCAACAGCACTTCGACGTCGTGATTTGCAAAGGAAATCATCGAGGCTCCTTCAAGTCGTTTCTCCTCTTCCACCACCTTCACCACATACTGCGGATTGTTGAAGAAGGTCGGAGAGTCCACGGGCCCTCCTCCCGTCCTGTCCGTCCACTGCCCTCGCACACTGACCTTGCTAAGGGGGGGTACTCGCTGCAGCTCCACGACTCCGCTGCTGTAGAGCCTGAGGGTGAAGGGAGCGGTCTTGGTGGTGCTGCTGGTGTAGGGGATGACGTAGTATAAGGTGTCAGCATGCAACTTCACCGTCAATGACACGTCTCTCGATCGCACGGGGTACTGCTGCGCTACCACCACCCCGTCCTCCACCCTCCACACCCGGCTCGGGAACGACCCCTTCTTCGCCTTGAGGACCGTGATGCCGGCAGGGACCAGCTCTAGCTCTCTGCCTTGCACTCTGCTGTCGAACTGAGCGACTGTGATGACGACGGTAGAAGAGCTGGGGACGCACAACCTGAACTGAGGGTTGAGAAACCATGTGGGGTCCGATTCGCCTCCTCCTGCTGTCGACTGCGTCCACTCGCTTCTCACGCACAAGTTGTGCCAGTTGAGGGGGAAGACGCGGCAGATGTAGAGCTTGTTGAACCTGCAGGACAAGTTCAGAGGAGCTCGAGCGTGCTTCAGTCTTCTCGTACCGATCGACAAGGTCTTCGTACGACATCCAGAACACTCCTGGCTCCTGCATCCTCCCGAGATGCTTCGAGACTTCGGGGTAGATGGACCACAGGGCGCTGTCCTCTCCCCAGTCTCCGTCCCATACTCCGCTGTTGGTTCCCCAGGGGTTTCGCACCTTGACGAGCCGGAAGCCGTTGTCCGGGATCGTCTCCACGTCGAGGATGGCGTACCCGTGGTTCACCAGCAGCCCGCAGGGGCCCTGGGCCTCAGGCTGAGCGTTTCTAATGGACAAGGAGCACGCGAGGAGGTGACCTGCAAGCTTGTCAGTGGAGGAGGAGGAGGCGGGAGACAACAGCAGCTGCTTACCCTCGCTCTTCGCCTCCTGCAGCTGCCGCCACAGGCTTCCTGTCTTGATTCGCTCCAGCCCCTCCCTCCCCTTGGTGTCGATGGTCTCCGTCACTCCTCCCGTCAGGTCTGCCAGCGCCTCGCTTATCTTCCCCGTCTCGATCGCCGCGTAGGAGCCGTGCAGCTTCGCGTAGGCTTTCTCCAACAGCTGGACCCATACCTGGGCAGGGGACACGCAGCGGCCGAAGGCAGGGACGAAACCTCCGCTGCTGGGGTCGATGACACAAGGGATGCGAGTGTCTACAGTCACGTCGTGCCAGGCGCAGTCCTTGTACAGCTGGACGGTGATGATGCCTCGGTCGAGCAGGTAGGAGTGGGACACGTTGGGGTCCACCTGCTTCAGGGGCCCGAAGATCTGCTCCACCATGTCGGGCCGGCAGGCGATGACTGAGAGAGCCCCGAGGAAGTGACAGTTCTTGAGCATCCCCTGCTTCACGTTGGACATGGCGCCGCTCGCTGCGAAGAGGATGGGCTTCTGGTCAGCAGGAACGAACTCCTCTGGCCTAAACCACCCGTGGATCTGATCCGCCAGCTGCTGCTTCCTCTCCTGCTCCTGCTCGTCTTGCACTTGGCTCCCCTCCTCCCCCAAGATAGAAACTTCCGTGGGAGGGAAGGAATCGTCACAAAACTTGGCGCCTCCCCGCCTGCTCGAGCCGAGCAAGCACAAACTCTCCGTCGACGCTGAGGGAGGTGCCGACAGGCTCTATCAGCAGCTCGTACACAACGTCCGACTCCGCCATGCTCGCCAGGTTCAGGTCAGCCAGCAGCTGCCCGCTGCGAGGATGAGCTCGGCGATCCCTTGGGGTCGCTCGTCTCGGCGATGACTGGGGGGATTTCAACCTGGAGGAGAGAGGATCGTACCCACGCTCCTCTCCCATGCCCTGCAAGTTGCTCCCTCCAGCTGACCGCGGCCTCAGCCGAGGAACGAAAGCGCTGGAGCTTCCTGTCGTGAGCTGCTGCTCTGCTCCTACCAGGTTGTTCACTCGGATCTTCTTGAGGAGAGAGGACCGGTCAGTCTTGCTCAGACGGCTCGTCGTCCTCCGTTGAAACCCCTTCACGTTCAAACTTCCTTCCTCACTGACAGCAAACAAGCTGTTCTTCTGTATCCCTTCCAACGAGCTCCTTTCTGCTCCTTGGTGCTCGACGTACACAAACTTCTTGCCCTGCCATGAGCCGAAGACTCCGCTGGAGGAGCGAGGAGGCTTCAAGCCGTCGTCCTCAGCGTACACAACTTGTCCGAAGAAGCTGGGAGCCGCTGACTTTGGTCGGGTGAGGTTGAACAGATGATTGCTTTGCCTGTACCCTGCCGATACAGGTCTCCTCCCCTTCAGCACATCCTGGGCTGGTCCGAGCTCGTTCTGCCTGTGAGCAGGCAGCGCGGAGCTTGGACGAATGCCTCCTGGCATCGTAGGTTGGATTAAGCTCGAAGAAACTCAAGGGATATCTTGTCACTCGTCACATGATAGCTGAAACATGATCCTTCAAACTATCATCTCCAGCCTTGATCATCGTCGACAACGATCCTGACGAAAGGATGTAATCGCAAGCATCAGGCTAGACCCGTCCTTGTCTTGTCTTCGCTCGGATTCTCCGGTGCTTGCTCGCCTTCTGTCAATCAGAATCTTTCAGACCCTTGTATCTCCCTTTCACATCCTCATTTATCCTCCCATGAAACCCCCGTCCTCTCCCTCCCTCCCTCAGTCTCTCTCCCTGTTTCTGATGCTTGCCTTGCACTCCTCCTTTTGCTGGTCCTCTCGTTCCCTTGCATCGTTTCTCTCACTAATATTAGCATTTCTCTCCTCGCTCGCTCGCTCTCTTCACTATCAGCTCGCTTTCTGCATCCTCCTGTTCCCTCCCTGGTCCTCAGGAGCTCATCGCGTACATTCAGACGCCTTCAACTGCTTCTCTCTCTCTCTCCTCTCCTCTCGTCTCTCCTCTCTCCTCTCCTCTCGTCTCTCCTCTCGTCTCTCCTCTCTCCTCTCCTCTCGTCTCTCCTCTCGTCTCTCCTCTCATCTCTCCTCTCGTCTCTCCTCTCGTCTCTCCTCTTGTCTCTCCTCTCGTCTCTCCTCTCTCCTCTCCTCTGGTCATGCCGCTTCAACGTACGACCATAGTTTCGCGTTTACGTTATTACTCTCAAGGTTTCGGTTACGCTAGAGCTGGACTGGGTGCCGCCTTTACTCGCCCCTTGACTGAACCCCCCCCAGAGCTTAACTAGGACAAGAGAAAAGGCAGCGCAGGCTCCTACCCCAACCATATACCAGACTAGTGACCGTAGGCCCGTTGACCGTTAAATGTAGCGAGAGCGACAAGCATGGGGAGGAGGAACAGCAGGAGGGGCGAGGAAGGGGAAGGAGGAGAAAGGATTCAAGCAGACAGGCGGAGCTGAGACAGAGAGACGAGGACGGAAGCGAGAGGGGAAGGGGAGCAGGAGGTGCCTGAGTGAACTTGAAAAGAAAGAATGCAGGATATGCGACTCAAGGGAAGGAGCAACCGCAGGATCGAAAGAAGCCTGAGCTCAAGCATGCTAGTGTAGACATGTTGCGATCACTGTGCTGTCAATCCTCGAGAAGAAATGTCGAGATGCTCTAGACCTCCTGACATGTGAAGACAGGGAGAGGTGGGGCGAGGATGAACACGCCGGTTGTGATCGTGGTAGAGCTCTGGTATGCGACTGACTCTCTCTTCATTCCTCGAGTGAGTGCAAACTGCAGCACCAGCCACGTCGGCGCCAACGCAAACCCGAAGCATTATCAAGATCACTATCAAGACCGTAAACCTTGATGCTGCAACCAGCAGTAGCGGCTGACTTGTCTCAGTCATACAGTCTCTGTCAAGAGCGGCGCTGCCTCTTGACGTCACCATCTTGCAGAATCAAGCAACTCTAGAGCTCTTGGAGTGGTTGAAGGACAAGAAGGAACTGAAGGCCATCAAAGGCGGGAAGAAAGTCTGGAGTGTTCAAAACCTCGATCAAGATCGTCACAGTGAGTGGTGGTGACGGGGAGGCTAATGCGTGTAATCGTTATGGCTAGAGGAGGGCGAGTTTCCTCGCACCGGTTCCTTCGAAGTTTTCATCCTGTCCAGCGTACAGACAGCCAAGGGCACTCATACCATCATCCATGAAGCTTACAGCAAGCTGCACCAGCAGAGGTCTGCCTCCTCACCCTCACCCTCCTCCTCCTCCTCTCGTTCTCTCCTCCTCTCCTCCCTTCCTCCTCATCAATTTTTCTCCTCTCTCCTTGTTTACTTGCTGCAAGGTGGCCCACGGTGTCGATTCTGGTTCAGAAGATTGTCAAGGTACTGATGCGAGTCAAGAAGCGAGACAGCGGTAACTGACCGCCCTTGTCTTGATTGCTAAAGACTTGTTCTTTTCTTTATCTATCTCACTTCTCCTTGTCTTTGCTATCAAAGGCCTTCAGCGATGTGCCGCCATCTTCATCAACTCCATCGGCAAACTTTACGGCTGCTACTCTCACCAACAACACCAGCAAGGTGCCCAGCTCCAGATCATGTGCAGCTTCCTCCTGACCGCTCCCAGCTACCGCCCCTCCAGGCATCCTCTACATCCCCAGCATGTCCTGCTGGGTCCACCCTGAAGTCGACGGGGAGATTCTACCCGCGCACTTCACTCCCGACAGCAAGAAGCCTCTGCAGGTGAGAGAGGAGCAGGAGCAGGAAGAGGAGGAATAAGAGCGCCTTTTGTTGTTGTTGTTGTTGTTGTTGTTGTTGTTGTTGTTGTTGTTGTTGTTGTTGTTGTTGTTGTTGTTGTTGTTGTTGTTGTGGAGGAGGAGGTGGTGGAGGTGGTGTTGGTGATGGAGGAGGAGGAGGAGGGGGAGGAGGAGGAGTGCTGATGGATTGTCAGTTGTGTGAGGTCACCCCGGGCATGAGGATCCGAGCGATCAACCTGAGAGGCTTCGGGCTCAAGTACTCACACGCCATCGAGATCGCTCAGTTCATCCGCAAGACCTCCAGCCTCAAGTCCCTAAGCTTGAGAGACAACGACCTCGATGCTGAAGCTGCCGTCGCTCTTTCAGACGCTATCCAGGTTCTCCTGCCTTCCCCTCTCCTCTCCTTCTCTCCCCTCCCCTCCTTCTCTCCTCCCCTCACCTCCCCCACTCTCGTTCTCCTCTCCTGTCCTCTCCTCTCCTTTTCTTCTCTCTCCTCCTTCTCTCCTCCCTTCCCCTATCCTTTCTTTGTCTCCCTTCCCTCCTCTCCTCCTTCACTCTGGTGCTCAGGCTCATCCGAGCGTAACATCATGCGACCTAAGAGGGAACAGGATCGGTACGCGTCTCGTCCGCGTCCTCTCGTGACGCTGCTGCAGGGCCTGAGGGAGCGACGGCGCTGGCGTCGATGCTGCAAGTCAACACTGTGCTGAACCAGCTCAACGTCTACGGGAACCACCTGCAGGCCTCCGGCGGCGAGGCCATCGCCCGCGCCCTCCGACACAACCTCTCCCTCCGTACCCTAGACCTCGGCGACAATCAGATCGGAGACCTGGTGAGCATGAAGAACGGGATCAAGAGAGGAGGGAGGGGGGAGGAGGAAGAGGGAGGAGGGAGAAGAAGGAGGGAGGAGGGAAGGACGACAAGAGTGGTTCTCCTGACAGTCTGCAGGCAACTACCAGGATCGCCAACGCTCTACGGAAGACGACGACGCTAACGTCGCTGCAGATTCAGCCCCTCAACGATCTCCATCCCGGTCAGTCACCTCCTCCTCTCCCGCTCCTCTAACTGCCTGTCAGGCCCCAGCGGCATGGGAGACCCTCGAGTCGCCTCAGGCTGCGTGGCGCTGATTCAGGTGGAAGGGGAGGAGGAAGCAGGAGATGGAGGGAGAGGAAGGGGTCAGAGGGGGGCGGAGGGAGAGGACGAGGACGAAGAGGATGGGGGAGAGGAGAAGGAGGAGGGAGACTGAGACGGACGAAGGGGTTGAAGGGCAACAGCAACATCCACACGCTCAACGTAGGGGCAAACAGCATCTTGTCGGAATGGGACCCAGTGCAAGAGAGATTCCCACACAAGATGATCACTCCGGCCCTCTGGAAAGGACGGCAGACGTGCGCTATCGTTTCCTCCTGCTCCTGCTCCTGCTCCAGCTACTTTTCTGTCCCCTTCTCCTCTTCCTTCCTCCTCCTCCTCCTCCTCCTCTCGTCTGACTTCCTCACAGAGTCCCCAAGTCCGTGCTGGACGTGCAGGCTCTGCCGTGCACGAGGACGAAGCTGCTCCTGCGCCCCAAGGATCTTCGGCATTCGCTGCTGCCTCCAGGTGAGAGGAGGAGGCTGACACTCCCACCTGACTCGCGATAGCCGACGAGGAGGAGGGGCCGGGGAAACCTTCACTTGCCTTCGACTTTGCGTTGAAGAGGAAGAAAACTTTCAAGGTAGAAACCTTTGACAGGCAAACGCTCCTGCCTATCTCTCTTGGCTTCATCTGCTGCTCCTATTCTCAATATCTCTTCACCTCCTTGTCAATTCTCGTCTACTTCTCCTCGCCACAGCATCATCATTTCTTTGCTCCTTTTCATCTCTTCTCTTCTCTTCTCTTCTCTTCTCTTCTATCTATCTCATCTCATCTCATCTCATCTCATCTCATCTTTCTCTTCAGGTCCACAAAGGTTCGACCTTCGAAGAGATCAGCAACCTGCATCAGATGAGCCTCATGAATCTGACGCTCAAGGGGCCGAGGCTCATGACCTTCAACCCGGATTTCTTGTAACAGCCACCAGCTGCCTTCTGTCTGTTTATTAGCCTTCACATTCGAAAAATGCTCGCAAGCTCTTCATCTTGAACTCAATCAGATTTGTTACATGTCACATGACGTGCCTGCAACGACAAGTCATCTTGCGATGTTCACGCTCACAGCCGTTCACCTTGTAGTTGAGATCAGCTGTGCTTTCTGGCTTCGAGCCGTATTGATGTGCCACTGACTTCCAGTGAGATCAGTTGTCAGTGCGTGAAAAGAATTTCCATGGGAAACGAGAAGAAAAACCACGAAAAAGAAATAAGAAGATAGATTTGTCGATGAATGAATAATCGTATTTACAAGTCGTAGAGTTGCCAGACGGTCATTGAAAAGTTTCGCAGGGATCCGCGATAACGATCCTGTCCGGCTTTAAATATCCTTAAGAGAACGGTCGCATATCGAGCTAGAAAAGCTCGAAGCATCCTCTTGTTCTAGTTGGCCATAAGAATAGCTTCTCAAAGTTGCACCATGCACCCTTGGACCATCGCTCTGATATCCGAGAGCGGCAAGGAGGCTAACATTGTCCATCTCGCCCGGAGCAAACGTCTCTGAAGCATCTGAACCTGTTGTCTCAGAGCCCAGTGGGCTGTTGGAGGAACAAGACATCCAGACTATCCGAAGAAACTTGAAGATCAAGATTTGAAACAGAAAAGTCTTGTAGAGCACGATGAGAGCTGGCACGATTGATAAGCCAGAGGCCACGAAGGAAGGAGAATGCAAAGGAACGACTGTCGAAGAACGGGATGTGCGGAGAGAAGAGGAGGAAAGAAGATCAAAGAGTGTCTGCGAAAAAACGTCAGCCCAACAGCCTGGATGATCAACGAGTCAGAACCAACCGAAAATCAGCCAAGAGCGGGAAAATCAGATTGATAAGAGGAGGAATCATGGTAAGGCTCAGATTGAGAGTTCTCGATGTTGGTGGACCTTGACATCAAAGTCAGACAGGAGAAACTTTAAGATCCATTTCGCTGCTCACCCGTTTGCTACATAGTCTCTTACTTGGGATGAAGTCGGGTCCAATCCGCTGAAACCATCACTGGAGCCAATAGGCTGCAGTCCATTGCTGTAAGAGCCTGAAGAGAAGCTTTCCGCCCCGCCTTGGTAGTACATGCCCATGGCGGGCATCTTGGCATCCAACTGCTGGGGCGGGGGGAAAGCCGAAGGGAAGCCGTTGGAACTGAAAGGAAGGTCTCCAGGGAAGTTGAGGTGGGAGGGGATGGAAGGCTGCAGCCCCCACCCGCCCATGTTCCACATGGGGTACGAGGGTCCCATGCCGTTCAAGGGGCCAGGCCAGCCCATGGACGGGTGAGGAACAGGAGGCGGAATTCCAGTAGGAAGCTCTCCCATGCCGAACTGGGGGCTCTCGTTCCCCCATTCTCGCTCCTGTCGCGATGTCACGAGGACCCTGGTGTCACCCTCTGCGTACATGTACCGGCAAGAACTCCTGGGCTCCCGCACTGAGCGACATCGGATACTTGAGAGGCTGCAGATTCACCATGAGCACGCGGCAAGGAGATGTTCTTAAGCCACCTTGGGTCCGTAACGAGAACGATCGTAGTCCGGGTCTTGCAGGTCAGCAAGCTTGTTGGTCATGACGGCCTGAGCCAACAGGTGAGAAGCTTCCTTGCGGCTTCTCCCGCACCTTCTTAGGCATTCTCGGGGCTTGTGGGTTCGCCTTCGACTCAGCCTGGTCGGGCAAGGGACCTTCTCGCTTCCCCCTGCCGGCGGAGAAACCTGAGGCCAACACAGGCGTCAACACTTGCTTACTCTGGTGAGCGTCAAGGCGAAGCTGTACCCATGCCTCCTTGCACCGGTCCCAGCGGACCATTGGAGGAGCTTGACGCATAAGCAGCTGTTGGAGAAGAGCTGGCTTCAGGCGGTGTTGCAACCTGCTGAGAACAAGTAAGGTGAGGGACGGGATGACTGGCCGAGGTCTGGTACTTCATCCGCAGTGTCTTGTTGGTTGAAAATTCGTGCTCGAGCTTGAAGATATTCCTGTTGCCTGATTTGAATAGGTGAGCTTCAGTTGCATCAGCGTGCAAAAGCTTGCCTTTCTTCAGCTGACTTCTTCTTCTCTCCACGTTTCGCTGCAACTCACTTACAACATTTAAATCACAAGAAAATAGACACCTGCTAGTCGCGCTGCCCTGTCGTCCTGTCTCTGCGCTACGTCTCTGCGCATGACCTGCGATTTCAAGTCAGAAGAGGAGAATCTGGCTGCTTAGCGCAACCTTGACTTCCTGCTCCGAAGGTTTCGCCTCCATGGGCTTGATCTGTCTGCCTGTAGCGAAGTCAGTAACCCCCTGGACGACGTAAATAAAATACCTGCAACGTGTCTTGGCTCTCCAAACCTACTCTCTGGCACAGTTGAGCGAGCGGTTTTAGAAATACCTGCGGGAAGTTCGTCAAAAATCTATCATCTCAGCAATCAAAACAAATCGGACTCACATATGCTGCCATCTCCAGACGAGCTTGTCTTCAGCAGGAACAAGTCCGCAACGCATTTCACCATGGAGATGTGCTTTTCAGACACTCCTTTGAAACGGATATGCTGCAGCCTGATAGAAAACCAGGTCAGCAGATCTCAGTAGAATAGTTCCAGCTGTGATTGTTTCTTACTCAGGGTTGGACAAGAACCGCTCGAACTGCTCGTCCAACTGTTGATGATCAGCCGACAACTTTGACCAAATACAGAATCACCTTGAGCAGGGTTGAGCGTTCCTTGGGATTTTGCAACGCCTTCGATAACCATACGTAAATATCGGGCAGAGCGTAAATCAAAGAGCCGACCTTGTTGAGCATTTCTTCGGAAGCATTCGTGTCGTTGGCAATTTCAGCCGTCTTCATTCGCTGAAATCAGCGTTAGAGCATTGCAACATTGACAACTGAAAACTCTCACAGAAACCAAGGCTTCTTCTTCCGCCTCATCCCAGGAGTCTGGTGGTAGGTCGTCCTGGTCAACAAGGTAAGCCTTCACTATGATAAGTGATGTCCATCAGACCTGGTTTGCCATATCTTCTCACCCGTTGCAAAAGACGTGACTGAAAACAAGAAGTTAGGAGCCTCAAATAATCTTCACGTGATGGTAGAGGTCAGTACAACTTCTGAGGGTACATGACTACATTCAAACATGCTCAAGACGAGCGTTGAAATTGAAGAAACACATGTGGCAGCAGCATGAAAAATCAAATATTGCAAGTGTTGCTGTGGTACCCATTTTCTCTTCTCCAGAGTTCATTCCAAACATTCCACCTCTCTTTCCTGAGACTTAATCATCCTCCAATCCTCCTTGTCAACCCCTCGCTTTGTTCCCATATTCCCTTCCTTTCGTCCTTACCTCACTTCCCCAGTTTTGCCACACTTTGCCCGATTATCCTCTCCTCGTCAACTCAACAACTTCTTCTCTCCTTCCTCCTGTGTTCTCCTCTCTTCATTCATTTCTTCTCCCGCCACTGCCTTGCCCACTTTCACGTCATCGGCGCCCTCTTTACTCTTCCTCTTCCAAATTGATCCAAATCATCTTTCCTCAAACTTGCTTCTCTCTAATATTCGCCTCCTCTTCTCATTATTCCCTCCCTTCATCCCTTGCCCTCTTCTCCACTGTCGCTCAATATACCCACTTGAACTACTCCTTCAGTACTCAAAACCTTCTCCTTCGCATCTCTTTGCTTCTCCTTTGCAGCTCCACGTCTCAGCATGAACAACGACCTCTTCTGTCCTCTCTCCTCCATCTCCTCTCTCCTCTCTCCTCTCTCCTCTCTCCT